ATTACATTTCGTACAACATCCTCGATTACTCTTCGTGTATCCCGTTGCGCTTAACCATTGATCTTAAAGCTGGTTTTGTTAATTGGTTTAGAACAAGAACGAACAAAAGAGCACAGAACAAGAAAATTAGATCGTATCTCTTTCACTTTACCTTTTTCTTTATTTTTTTAATAAAATAAGATCTCGTTAATATCACGCGAGTTTCGTATTCAATGGTATCGTCGTCTCAAAGAACACTGTGAAATTGACAAAGTGAAAAGCAAGAGAATCATTGATATATAGAAGATTTATTAAATAAAAAAATCACTAATCGTAAATATCGATAAATTGTCCATACAAAATTTAATTTTCGTCGATTTTTCGCATTTCATCGTTTTTCTACGATACTTCGAAGACAAAAACAAAACAACAACAAAAAAAAAGGCAAAATTACTCGAGATCGACCGTCATTGAAAAATCGTCCTTTTCGACCGGTGTTTTTCGTAGCAAAAATACAGAATAAGGAAAAAAAAAATGAAAAAAGGAAAAGCACGTCGTAGGAATTTTGGCAGTGCGTCAAACGAACATTCGTCGTTACCAAGACGCTGCAGAGATTGACTAGCGCTGATCTTCGATGACGACAAGAGATTACGATCTTCCAACTGAATTAAATAACGTATAGCAGGAGATGGAGTGAGGAGGTATTAAAAAAAGAGAGAATAAGGAAGATGAACGAAATAATTTTGAACGTATTGTACTTAATGATACACCTGCATCTGTTATTAGGATGAACTTAAAAATTGTACTCGGCAGTGTGGACAAAAATTTTGAGCTACCAAAGAGTTAACCTTCGTTCCCTCGTCGAACCTATTCTAATAATACTCGAAATTTAATTTCAGAATTAATAAGAACCTTAAATTCCTCGTCGAATATAAACAAAATTGTTCAATGATCGTAGACAATCGTATAAGTCAAAGGACAGAAGGTTAAATCTTTTCTTCAGCACCAATCGAACCTCCGTTATACGCACAATTATTCGTACAATTAAACACAACGCGTCTTCTTTTCGCCTAACGGGCTTCTCTCCCTCTCTCTCACTCGCTCACACTCAGGATTCTCTATCATCGTTGCTCAGTTACGCAACCTTCTTCCATTCACGCAATGCCTTTCTTTTTTTTTTTAATTTTAGTCTTTTCTCGTCTATTTTCTAACGCTTAACGAGTAAATGAAATTGAACTTCCGATCGATGATTCTTCAAGACAGAAGTATTCGTCGCATCCGAATACGTTTCTCGTGGTCGAACGTTGTCATTAAAAGATATATAGAACGCGCGTACGTGAACTGCAACTGTACCAACAGGCCACGATGCAGTCATCGACAAAGTTAATCGATGAGTACGTTGCCATCGATCGAACTGCAAACGAATTACGATTCTACGACGCGAATATAATACGTTAAGTATCTGTGTGTATACATATATATATATACACGTGCTATTACGTATACTTATATATGTGTACATACATATATAAACGGTGGCCTCTCCCGAAACACGACGATGATTCAAGACGAAAACTATCGGCGTATATTCGGTATGGCTTTCTATTCATCGATCAACCGAGGTTACGCTTATCGAGAAGCCTCCACAAACAGTCGCGCGGGGCGCTGCGAGCGACGGAAATAACAGAAGCGTTTGGAAAGTCTAGCGGTCGAGGCACGGATGTCGTTATGTATGCCCGTGGCGAGATGGACTGCGCGTTGAAACGTCGAACTTCGTTCTCGTCTATCTACGACAGAAGGCAAAGTTCGAGGCTGCACGGTCGGTAGAAATGCTTCCTCTTTTTCCCTTCGAGAACACTGCTACTTCATACGTACGATGCACGTGCGCACAGTCTATATCGCGGTCGAACGTCGCACAGAGAAGTCACCACGCTTTTCTTTTTTCCTTGCCGCCTCTTCGCAGTCCATTTACATTGATCTTTTTTATTCGCGCGTTATGGCGCGTATGCTTTCGCACGTCGACGATAGAAGATGACAAGGAGACACTTTCGAAACCAGGTCGTTTCTGGTGTGACGTAACCTCACTATCTAAGACGATACGTGTTGTCATAACGAATTTTGAATCCTGTACGAGCATCTAATTGGACGTAAGAATGCTATCAAATAGTGCACTTCGAGAATAAAATATTTCTTCATAAAAAGGAGCGTACTTTTTTTACGTCCGTCATTCTGGTTATTACGGAACGACGAAAAGGAAATAAAAGGGAGAAGAAGATTCGGTGGAAAGAGGACACGAAACAAGGGAGTTCATTATATGCTTCGCAGTGTCGCAGGATTCGTGTCGCAGCACTTCCATTGTTTCTACTCAGGGACATGGTGTGTGACTCGCAGGGATTCGCTCGCAACGACCGCCATCTTCTTTTATATTTCGTTCCATTTTTTTCTTTTCTCTTTTCTTTCTCATTTTATTTTTCAAGTATCCTTGTTCGAACAGACTTTTGAACAATTTCTTTTTCAGCTTTTCCTTTTTTTTTTCAACGAGTCGCTATAATGATAACAATAAAGAATTGGGACGAAGATCTCTCCGGCATCACGGTGCTCTGACAATTCGAATTTTATCCGGAGCGCGGACAGGCGCGCATCGAACGAGATCGCCCCTCAAGGCTGATGATTCATCATGAAACTTCATCCGATGCAATATTCTGAAAAAGGAACGAGATCCTCGGTCGACGATAACGTTATAAATTTCTCAATAAGAAAGATCGCCCATTGAAATGCGTAACCCGATCGTTCCACCAAGACGGCCGATACATAATATACAATATATATTTTAAAGTTACACGCCTTTTATGAGATCAGCAAAATTACTATGCCACTGTCCTCGAGCCAAAATGATTAATGAATCGTTTATTCAAACCTGACAAGGGTTACCTGTAAATATTGAACAAAAATATTTCTGTGTAACAGACAACTCAAAGTGCTTTAAAAATCGTTTAAGAAAAAAAGACTACACTTGTTTAGTCATTTGTATTATAGTAATCACGATACTTGATAAAACGTGTCTTTTGGGAATAAAAGTTTCAAATTACTTCGAACGATCTAATCAATCTAACTCGTCTAACGTAATACATCGATATACTAGAACCCTTGTATAACACGGATGGATACATCCACCATATATATATATATATATTTAGAGACACGATTTCTTATTCCTTCTTCGTCTCATTTCCTCTAATTTCAGACGACTGCTTCGGACGTGGTAAACTCCCCGACTACCTCGAAGTTACTCAACGGTAGAAATTAAAATTAAATCGGCTGGACCGCCTACTTTCTCGGCGTATGAAAAAAGAAAAGAAAAAGGAAAAGCGAGAAAAAAATAATCAGGTTAATCGATCGGGAACGAATCCCCTGGCAAGTCGAACCTCTTCGAGCAATGGACCGAGAAGATCAGAGAAACGTTCTTCGAGGATGCACAGGTACTTTGTCTCACGATGCGCTCGAATAAATATTATGCTATTTACAAAGCGATGAATAATATTGCTTCTCATACCGCGAAATTTCTCTCGTGAAACGGTATCACGTTGCAGTGAAACGATAGTTAGCACACGTGTCTAACAGGATTTATGACACTGACACGGAGCCCTTTGGCCGTTACCGAGGGAAAGCAGGTTTCAGAATACTTGTACCGGGGAAAGTCTCGAAGACAGACCGGAAGTAAGGCTGTATTTCGGTTCCAGGTGTGGATGAAGGCAAGATTGACAACGAGATGTCGGATAAAGGGTCAAACATGACGACATTAGGAGGGCTTGAAACGGCAGTTATCTCGTAAGTAGGTGATGGCTTGGAAAGGGCACGGGATGAAAGTAATTTTAACGATCTTAATGATGGACAGTTTTATCACCTCGCACAATCGTGCCTTATAGTACTCCTCTACGGCATCAGAGGTCTTGCAACTGGGCTCAGGATATCTAAAACGTGTGGGAGAGACACGGATAGGATATTCACTAAAGGTGATACCGGATGAGAGAATGTTCACTGGAAAAATCGTCTCGTTGGACAACTGCAGGTGATTTTGAACAATGGAACTGAACGGTTTAGGAATCTCAAAAATCGATCGTGAGCAATGAACTCACGGATTCTTTAGTTGACGATCAGTCCTAACACGAGTCAAGTGATTCTTCGAACACCGACGACGTTGCACGCATCCAAAGTCATTTCGATATATCATGGCATAACAATGATACCTATGTGAACATCATCATCTCGAGCTCGAAACTACGATTAACGAATTTTCAACACGTCGAGAAGGTACTTCTTGAGTGTTTGGGTATTCTAAACGAGAGAATGTCGGATGGTATATGTACAAGAGGTTGAGAAGGATGTGGATGTGAGGACGAGAAGATATCGATGGTACTTTGATACTCTGTCGATATAAATTAAAAAATAAGGAAAAAATAAAACGAAGCGAAGAGAAAGAAACAGCAGGAAAACATAAGGTGATAGAGTTAAAATTAAGTAAAATAATTTCAGCTGGTAAAGCACCGGTCTCCAAAGGATGATCATTCTCATCGTAGAAACCTGCTGTATATAATTAGCCCCTCATTTGGGAAAAATACAAAATTCTGTTGCTGAATACTTGTATAGTAACCACGTGCATTTGGGATAATATCGCTATGTTACATCTAGTATACGTTCGATAGACGAACGGGCACACGGGGCGTCAGTAATGTAGGTAGTAAAGTATAAAATCACGGAACATTATCTACTGTCTTAATTCGTAGCGTGAGGCGAAACCGGACGCGCGGTTCTCAGGGCTCGATTCGATTCGGATCGGGCGAACACGGTCGTTTACATGCGGCGACACGTATGAAACGAAAAACATTGCGGCATATGAACGCGAGATATGGATTATCGTGGTCAATCATAAAAATGTCGCTTGATTCGGCTCACGTTCGCTTCTTTTGTCTGCGGAAGCACGCACGCGGCGATAAGGTACATCGTTTCTTGCTGTTTTTTAATTTTCCTTTTTTTTTTTTTTAGGTTAAGAAATACGAAAAGAGGACGCGGGCATTTTTCCACGAGAACATATTCCGTCCTGTATCGAACAAACGTACAGAATCGTCGAAAATGACAGGAATAAAATGAAAAAAAAAGGGGAGAGATGAAAAACGAATCGATTCCAGGTAACATCTCGATCTCCGCGTGTGTGTCCTCGTTTAGCGGCATTTTCTAGACGTCGTTTTCGAGGAGAATTTAAATGCAAGCCATTGTGGAAGCCCGAGACACTTACCAGCATCAATGACGCCGCGTGTCCTCCTCTCGCTGTACGTGTACGAAAAAACAACGCGAGATGAAATATGCATGAGAGAAGAGGTCGTAAGGTATAAGGGGCGCATACATGTACGCACGTACGTATATATATATGTACATGCATATGTCGCGAGTATATATGTATACATATATTTAGGCATGTACGTATATACACAGGTACAAACGTATTTTTACATGATCCATGAAGTGTGAGAAACTCGAAGATACTACTACATGTGAGAGACAGTGTGTATATGAATCGTACAACACCGCATCACTTCTTGCCGAGGAAAATGTCTTGCGGATAGGGCATACGTCTCTACATCGAACGTACAAAATAAAAAAATTCAATTTCCATCACATCTTTATTGCTTTACTACGTATTTTGCTTTTTATTCTTTTTTTATTAACGATTGTTTACACTCGATGTATCTCTTCATCGATCCGTCTCTATCGCATCGAAAAATCGTTCAACGAAGAACGGATAAATGGAAAAGAACGAAAGAAATAGAATCAATTGTTCGAGCAGTGACGCTTGAGTTCGGTAATCGGAAAGGGAGCGATATTACCTACCACGCGCGACCCTTGTCTTTACATTTGTACCATAAACGAAGTAGACATTTGTCAAAGGAATAGAAACCTACTAAAAGAAAACGAATGTCTTCGAACGGAATCGCAATGGAGATTCGATGAAAAAAAAAAGAAGAAATATGATTTCGTATCACGTATAAAAATAAAAGAAAAAAGACATTCCAGTGAACGTGTAAAAATCGTGTCAAACTTCTTCCTCGGCAACGATGCGTACCGTACAAAGTCGACTATGTTCTACGCAATGATATCGAACGTATGAATGTGTATGCGTGTGTATGTATATGCATGTTTAAATCCAACTGTGCGAGTGAAAAGGCGCGTCCCCGTTGTGACGAACGCTAGGCTAAACGCGCAGGGATCGCACTAACGTGTGTAGTTTCCGTTTTTTTTTTTCTGTATATGTTACGTATCACAGACTTCACTTGGAACTGAACACTGACGGAAGTTACTCGCGCTGATCGACGCGACCAACGTCCTTATAATGGGTCCACCATATCAGCACTTCGTCAAATTTCAACGTCGTAGAAGAAAAAAGAAATCGCGAGTCGTCGATGATTACACACGCCAATTTCACGATGGAGCCCTACGCGGTGAGGTCACGTGATCACAAGTCGCGCGAATTTCGAATCGCAGGCTCGGCAAAAAGAAAAAGAAAAAGGTCAGTTTTCACCACAGAGTTTCTTCGGTCGCCTCGCGGAGAAGAAATCCGGCAGTTGGTTCACTATGTATATATAATTATATATTCGACTCCTTGTTATCAAGTACCTTCTCTCCTTCCTTTCTTTCTCTCTCCTTCCGCACGAATACTCTCTCGTCCGCTAACTATCCTACGACAGGTCGTGCTGTAGCTTCCGCAGCATGAGATCCACCGCGATCCTGGCATCTTCAACGGAATCGTGCTCCGTAACCTGTATTTCCCTTCGCAGCACAGTCCTCGCTAACGTCTTTAGGCTGCTGCGAAAAGGATAACCGAGAAAGTGCGGGAACGCGACGCACGTGTCGATCACCGTCGTGTGAAGTAACCTCAACGCCCGGAGATCGTTCTCCAACCCGTGGCCTATGAGTATAGTCTCCGCGTGGACGAAGCTGGTCAAGTCTTTCTGAACGTCCCTGAGCGATTTCGACGCTTTCGAGAGATCCTTCGCGGTGATGCCGCTGAATCTGGTATTATAATCGATCACCTCGGCATCTGGCATCACCAGAGTGTCGTACACGACCTTGCCGTCCATGCCGACTACCGTGACCTTGGCTAGTTCAAGACCGCGTCGAGTGAAACACATCTCGCAGTCCAGAGCGTACACGCCGTAATTGCCATCTTTGGGTACGGTTCTAGCTAATCTGGTATGAACGTAGCCGTCGAAAGGACCGTTGAAACCTGGAGCCAATCCCGTCCATACGTGCATCCTGGCTGTAGTGCAACCTCGAGCAGGCTCACGACCCCGACAGCACTCCCACGTGTCACCGTGAGCACCATCTACCAGACCGCTTCGTAGTTTGCCCCAATGGTAAACGCAACGCTCCTCGTAGAGGTACTCCCCGTCTTCACGGTTCATGTAGAAACTCTTGTAACATCTGGCACACCTTCTCTCGACCACCACCAGCTCGTAAGGGTCCGGTGTAGAGTCTCTTCTAGACTTCTCTTGATAGCTGGAGTCGGAGGAGGAAGATGACGAGGAGGACGAATCGGTAGAGGACGACGACTCACCGATATCCGAACTCTTGTCACTGTCCGAAGCACTCTCTTGCTCCAAGTCTGAACTCTCCAAGGAACTTCCACTGCAGTTTCCACTGTCTCCCTCGCTCTCGACCATCATCCAAGACCCGCTGCCGCTTCCTGGTACGAATTCCCGCGCATTCGCGTCCAAATGATGGTAACCGCGTGCTCGGTGACCCATGGGGTGCTGATGATGATTGATAATCACTGCGTAGCCCGGGAAGTAATTGCACTCTACGGGATAACCAAGGTGAGCCAGCTGGTCTCCAGTGAGCGTGTATCTGCGGAGCAACGAGGCAAGAGCAGCATCGCTCAAGTGGTGCAGTTCCTTCCTCTGACTGCTTAGGAAAATACTACGGGACTTTTTCGAGCCACCATTCGCATTCACTCCGGAGACACCGTCGTTCTTACTCTCCTCGCGGTGAGTATCGTTCTGAGCCTGGTTCCTCCTGGCACCTGAATTTCTTCTACCCATAGATGCCACCTCGGTTGACTCGGAGCCTCTGGTTGGACTGTTCTGATGATGCTGCTGTCGACAGTGATGATGTCTACGGTGTCGTTGCTGCTGCTGCGTCGGTTGCTCGTCTTCGTGTTCGTCGTCTCTGAGCTCGCGACGCTGGTCTCGTGGCACTCTGCTGCGATTCTTGCGTTGCCTTCTACTCAGGATGGCTCGATCTTCCTTCGTCGTAGGCGATGACGTTGTTATCGCGACGCTCGACGTTGCTGACGTACTATCGGATGCAGCGGTTGTCGGCGACACGGAAGTTGCGGATGCCGAGGAAGCTGATGGCTTGCTCTTGCTCCCCGATGACATCGTCTTCGTCGATGCTGGCGTCTCGCGATTCACCTTACAGCCACCGTACCGATCGGTCTCCCCAGGATCCAGGACCTCCTCTTCCGGCCGCAGGCCGCAATCTTTATGTCACATACAAAAACATATATGCGTCAGTTCATCGTCCGGCAGCGAGACTTAAAAATCACCTACATTATACTGTTAAGGTTTGCCATACACCACGCGCATGCATCTGTGTCCTTCTCTAATACTTCTCGGTGTTTCTCCACCGGTGTTCGTTAGGGTAGACAGTGTAATTCGTGACGTTATATACTTATCGTTTGAAATTCCGAAAATGCATTTCACGATATTTATCCGCGTCCTTTCATTTTCTCGAGTATCTCAAATATGTACAGCCAATACGATTAGTCAACGGGGGGCACACACATCGTAGGCTTTTAGTCAGGTCGTGTCTGAATAGAGGATAGACGAGAAGTAATGGGTACTTTATAATCGTCTGTTCCTTCTTTCTCTTGGAAAACGTTACTCAAACGTCGCGAAACCGCAGCGTGATCAAGGATACGCCAACATTTCGCGGTCACATCGATCCGAATCGCTCTTGACCCAGAGACCGCCATATTTCTGCCTTGAACCAATGCCCTATGCCACGCGTCGCGACTAAACTTGGTACGGTTCCAACGAAAAATGATTTTTCTTTTTTCTTGCAAATTAGTCGATACTGAAGTTTACGAAGTCGAACGATTCGCTAAGGAACGATTTGCTAGAGCTGCGCGGTTACTCTGCCTCGAAAGAAACGGGAAAGAGAAAAAAGGGGAACAAAAATGTGAAAGCTTGCCACGGACGTATGAAATAACGTATATAGATTGTTATATGTGCATAAAGGAACCATAATGTCGACGCATCGTTGCATAGGCGTCGACTCACAACGATTCAGCGACGATCGAGGCTCAAATCAATGGATAGAAAGAGATTTATATGTGCATAAAGGAACCATAATGTCGACGCATCGTTGCATAGGCGTCGACTCACAACGATCGAGGCTCAAATCAATGGATAGAAAGAGGAGAAACATTCTTCTTTCAGATCGTTGATCGTTGTTACGAAAATCTTGCAGGTATTTCGAGTCGATCGAAAAGGTGCGCGATAGAAGTGACGACCTATAAAATTTCGACGGAACTCCGTTTTCTTGAATGGCGTGAGAAAAAAGCAATTTAACACGAGCCCGTTTTTCAATTTACTCCGAAGCATAGTCCGCGTTAAAAATAAGCAAGAAGCTCCACTTTACGAGCCGTTCCCGGACTAACCAGATAGAATCTCCGGCCGTTTCTCACTCGTATTAGTCGCGGGAAGTAAAAAGCGCGATCGAGTGGCGCTGCGCTCTCGTTACGAGGCGGAGGCAACAAAAAATGGCGGCCAATAAAAGGTGAACCGTTTTAACGCTTCTTGTTTATTCAACAATACGCAACTTTCGCCAAATGCGTCACGGAAAGGGTCGCTTTCTTTTCACCGTTTTTACCGGCAGAGATACGCTGCTCCTCTCTTTCGAATAAACACGTTTCGCGCATGAATGAAGAAAGGGGAAAAGAGAAAAAAATTGGAGGAACTCTAATTGGCCTGGAGTTCTTAATTATTTATATAATTCGAAAACTGAGAATCCGCATTGCTTTGCGGATGACTAAAGTCGATGACTAAAGTTGCGTTTGAAATTGCACAAATTGTTCGAATCGAATCGAGGAATAACTGATTGTACAGAATTCGGTAAAATGTTTAATTTAGCGCGGACCACGTGACGGAGAACTCGAGGAAATTGGCGTGCTAAATTACTATTTAGCATGAAGCAGCTACGAGATTCCAAGATTTATTTGTATCGAAACTTGTGACTTATTCTGTACAATATATAGACTGACTTCGAGTTGGGATGAATTTCAAAAACTATTTTGGGATTGTAAGATCCTATTTGGTATCTTATTATATTTCTATTCAATGAAATCAATTTTCGCTCGAGTTAAACGCTCATTTATCGAAGAATATCGAGTGTCCTATAATCCCATAAGAGGGGATTCTAGCGCTTTACGTTTTCTATGGACAGGACGAACTAACTCGTCTACCCTAGTTCTACGCAGCACGTGCAGAGCGCGTTATCATCGAGCGAACTGCCCATTCGAAGCGTTAAATTCCAATATCGTTTGCAACTATTCTCTATGGACCACCTTATAGATTTCTTTGGCACGTGGCAGCGTTTGCCAATAATTCGATGTATTTCTACATTTCCTACGTCTTAGAATTACAAATAGATGAGAATCAGCTTAAATCACGCGACTCTGTCCAAGAAGAACAATTGCAATGCCTTTCACGAGTAACCCATGAAACGTCATCGAAATAAGGAAACTGGATGATATGACAATACTGCATCGATAGTTACGTCAGAAAGTTGACGCGGAAGAACGAAGAAAATTCCCCGAAGGAAAAGTGGGATTACCTCGACCTTGTGACTGATCCATCGGTTCATTGGTGGTTTCCACATAGACGACGAACGTGAGTGGCAAAGAATTTAATTGCGGTCGAACGATTGATCCGGTTTCCACACAGAGGTCGACACGATCAGCGAGGATTCCCGCGCATCTGAGCGAAGGGTAACGAAGGAAGGGATGGAAGGAGGGACGAGGGAATCACGGCGCTGACTCGGATAACGGACTACGCTTCTCCGGTCGCAGAAATGACCGGCTTCGATATGTACCGTTGCGTCATTTAATGAAATCATCCGCCGCGCGTCATTCGATTCTTTGAGGAAATCCCGGTCTCCGTGCGAGTCTGAGTTGCGGCCAACGTGGGGCCGAGGGGAACGTGAAAGGAGACCGCGTGGTCTAAGAAAATTTACCGCCACTAGAAACGACGGAAAATCTCGAGAATTCTATTCGAAATTTTTCCTGGAGTAATTGAGAAATAAAACTGAACATAGATACATGTATAAAACATATATGGTGAGAACGAGAAGTGAGGTTAGGGTACGAATAAATATTCGTAAGTTAGAAGAGTAACCTAACCCTCTTGCACTGCGATTTAATTATACGAGATGAGACGAAATATTATAAAATTATTTAATTTCTACGAATCTTGCGTATATCTAACCTTAAAATAGGTTAAATATAATTTTAGTCTAATGCGAAATGTGATTCATCTTTCTGGGATTTAGCATAAAAAATTCACGATGAAGATTCGTTATTGTAGCATAAGGGGTTAAGAGAACGACATATGATTAATTTATACTGAAATAATAGCAAGATTAAGCCATGGAATGCTTAGATGTATGAAATGCAATGGTGGGGATGTGGGTGGGATGGGAGAAGTAAGCTACGAGTTAATGAACCCCTTCACTATGATAAGTGATGCATCATCGGAAATTAAATAATCAGTTATTTTTATACGCATAGGTCTTGTATAGTCTGGTGAGATTTCTCTTATCATTTATTTGTACAGAGTGATACAAAAGTATCAAAAGGTTAAATATTGCTATTATTTCGCTGGCGAAAAACCTAACCTAACCTTTCACCAAAAGAATTCCTCAAACTGTAAAGTAGGCTCAATCTACGTTTCGTGGAATCGATAAATCGATAAGTACGATATGAGAATAAATAAACACGATATCAATGAGAAAACGGATCAAACTTGCGAATAAAATTTCAACGCGGAATTAGTGAGGTTAGGTCTGAATGTAAGCTCGTCGTTAATCATGTGTACCGAATTATCAGCTTATGATGAACCACTTCATCGAGTGGCCGACGCGAGCATAAGCAATCTGTCGCCTCGGCGTGTGGGCTTGATTTAAGGCCAGAGAATTTCCCACGACGCGCTATTATTAGGCTGTTACAACCGCGCCTGTTACGTTCGTGCATCGGAAAGGTGATAGCGACGCAGCGGCCAGCCAGCCAGTGGCCCCAAATTCTATATATCGTTTCGACGAATCAGATTCGGAATAATCGAACGATCGGTATATGGCGTATTTCAACGTTAAACACTTTCGCAAGATGACACTCTAAACCTGCTGGCTCAGGACTTTCGTTGCATTTACTTTTACTCGAAGAAATTCTGCAGGACGAGTACAGGAAGTGACCATAACCTCTATACGCCGGTAAATCGTAAACTTTCCGAACGTCGCATTCTTGCGAATGTTTTTCAGGTCGAGAATCGTTTTTTATTTGCATACACGATACAAATGTTTTGCAGATACGTCAAAAAATACGTTAAAAAGGGAAAAAGAGCATTAATCTTACATCTGAAGCTACAAACGTATTAACTCCGAGAACCTTGATACTATATCGATAGGACGAATATCAAGAATGATAAGACGCGGTAAAGTACGTCAATATGAAAATCGCATTGCAACGCATCGAGAGATACGTTCGGAGAACGTTGCAAGTTCACTAGCCGTCTTCTAAATTTACGCCTCAACCCACGGACATTTTCCGAGATTTATTTTTGACCACGACTCGTATTTCGAGACGTCGCGTTTCCCGAAACATCGATCGGGTACGGAAGACGAACGCGTGAGGAGTAAAACGATGACTATCATCGTTACGTAGTATCACGATCATCGCTGATTATTTACTACAAGAGAATGATTCATAATATACGATTTCGTTGTTAACGCGGCCGTGACTGATGACTCATATTAATTACCGAATAATCTTCAACGATGATGTGGCGAATGTTTTGCGAGAGGTTAGACACGTTAGTTCGATGGACGTTATCCAATTAACATAATCCCAAATATTTCTAATTTTGCCTATGTATCATTTTTCGTTTATAAGTAATGTTACTACGATGTACGTATTTTATTCGAACCTAACCTAGCACCATTTAACTAATCAATCTTTTCAAACTCAAAATTCCTATAGGAGTATTCTTTTTCAAAATCAAAATTCCTCTAGGAATATCTCTTTCGTTAGTCGTTACTCATAGGACGAATTTCGCTTGCAACGTGATTAAAAAGAGACGAGAGAGTGGAGAATCGAAGGCACAGGGAGAACATAACCTAAAAGGAGGTCGAACTCTAAACGACGGCAAGAGGAATCACTCGGGCCGTGGGCATTCCAGTTAAAAGACCTTTTTCCAAGAACCGCGCAGCCCACCAGAGCTCGAGCGCTCCTGTTACTCATGTTTCTCGGTACCCCCGTGGTGGCGCGCACGTATACACGTGGCACGACATACCTCGTCTTTAGATTCGAGGTTAAACGCACCGGGAGAAACGAAAGAAGAGAAACTCGCTGGTAAGACAAGCCGATGCCGCTTTACGAAAATCTTCCATGGTCAACGGGTCACCCACGATCGTCACAGTGTGAACCATTAAAGGATACGACACAACGAGCTGTTCAAATATTTTAACCCTTACACGGCGCGTTACGAAACCCATCTAACGCCATGCTATATGGCTCTACAGGCTTAAAGTATACGACTCAAAAGGTGATGAATCACAGAATTTTTCAGGTACACGGAATGCGTGTATTTTTAGGCGAATACACAATGGCAGATCCAGTAGGGAATAAAGGCAATTTCAAAAAAATATTTAGTTGGTTATACTCTAATTTTTTATGATGTCCAAATAATTAATACGAATTTGATTAAAAATATAATAGTATCAGGTGGAAATATTAAAATATAAATTTGTAAGCAAATTTTAGCCCTTTGCACTTGGCAATTTTTTCACTACAGAAAAATAGTAATTCAAATAGTATACAAATTAAGAAGTACAATTATTTTACTTCGACATTCCACACATCGTTGGATAATTTTAAATTTGACATATTAATTAACATCGATTTCTAGAATCCGATTAAATGGTTGCTTCTCAAGTGCGAAGGGTTAAATCGCCAGAAAATGAGTTTAGAAACGTACATATCTTTGCACATTTTACAGAAACGGGGAAGAGTTCTAAATTTGCCCATGTGGAAATGGAATATTAATCAAACGGTTATAATTATATCACCGAATAGTCTAGTGTTAGCCGTAACGAGAAATCGAGGCGTTTAATCCTGTTTCTACTTCAAAGATGAAATAGTGAAAGTAGTCGTTCGGCGCGAGCGATTTTTCCATTTTCATACTTTCACTATGTTCTCTCGTCCTTCTTCGTGTAATTGGATCGATAACGCGAGGAAGCAAAAAGGAAATACGTTTTAAAACGTTTCATATGAATTTCCTCCTACCCTATAGAGGAGTGGAGAAACGAACGGAGATACAAATCCGGGCCGATGAGAATAAAAAGCAATCGGGACAGGATAATGTTTTTCGAGACCAAAGCACCGTAGTTTGCGAACAACTTGATTTCACTCGAACGACCTACATCTTGCCTGTCTACTTCTGCTCGTAGGACTAAACGAAAAATATATAATATAACGGGTAACACGAGTGTCTGGTAATAACCTACCATTCGCCGTGTAAAAACGTGTTTTCTTTCCAAGTTTATGAGTTTTCTCCTCTCGGTGGAGTTACACCTCGTAGATTTTATATCGCAACCTCAAAGTTGTATAGGACTTTTACTTCGGCACTCGGTCACGTTTGTCTCGTGTACATGAACCGAGTCGAAGAAGAAACGTCAGGAGGCGTGTACAAAGGTTGTAAATCGTCGTGGAAACGGTGCAAGCAGAGACAGAGATCGGCTATTGTTACTGGCACAACAATACGGACAGCAGTGACACATGCAAATAAAAAAAAACCCATCGCGTCACCGATGAAAACACAAGTGGCCATTTTCCCGAATAAAAAGTCGCTCTACCGAGTTATCCGGTACAGGCGGAGTTTAAAGAAACCACGAGAAGAAAAACACACAGAAAAAGAAAAAAAAAAAAAAGAGATCATCCATCGAGAGACTTTATCAGAGACATAACTTTTTTTATCGCTTTTCTCGCGCAATAGTGGCAATTGTTGCGCGTGCCAATGGCGTAGCTTCCATCGTCACAAATCTCCCCAAAAAAATCTCATCCGTTTGATTTATGACTCACGAGTCCACTCCGAGGCCTTTCAATTTCGTTATACACTATATAACGTTGTGCAACTTTGCCAGATAATCAAACTATCTTCTAACTAAACAATACGTCTCGCTTTAGCGACGTATATTTTTTTATCAAAAATTTCGAAAACAACGCGTTTCGTTCGATAATAATGAAACGAGGAAATAATCGAATCGGGTTAATCTCAATCGATTAGTCTTTGCTCCTGTTTTATCTGTATATACGCGTACTATTTCATCTCGATGCCACGTCGATAAACGCGAACGTAAAAATCTGGCGCTAAAGCGATAAGACAGATGTCGCTGATAGAGACCTCTGGCGGAACGAATTTTCATTACTTTATCGGTTACGTACCTTCGGCACAGCTTGCGAGGAACTTGCCGTTGCTGGAGAAATTCATGTCGAGGACAGGGCCGGTGTGTCCCTTCAACGCACCCACCATCCAGGAATGCGTGAACTCCTGCTGTGCTTCGCGTCTCTTCTTGTTCTTGGCGCGTTTGTTACCACCGCCGCCGCCGGTCGTCCCAGTCGATACGCTCGTCGAGTCCCTCGAACCTTCGAACTTCACTTTTTCCGATTCTGCGGCATCTGAAACGATAAATAAATCGTCCGTTACTTCTACACCATTATAAATGCATGTCGAGTACGACGTAAAGGGACGAGGGTGAATTGAAGGTTAGGTTCTGAAAACATAGCTGTGGCGGGTAATAGGAAACCACGTAGAAGAAAAAGGTAGTGAAACCGAATCTTCGAAGTTTTCTTTCCTCGGTATAACGGTCGAGGAAACGATAAATAGTTTATCGTGCTTAATTTTAATTTTAAGCATATATGATTCAATTGCATACGAGAGGAAACAAAAATTACAGTTACAAATTTATTTCTTTAACCCTTCGATAACTGCGCAATATATTCTAATCGTAAACTACCGTTAACTCGTGAGTCATTATAACGTTGCTTCTCAATGCTGTCGATTTATATTCTATAATATAGAATATAGACTTCCTATTCCTATCTGTCCGCATAGTAATAGTACACATACCCTCGACTTAATCACATTTTTATCCAATAATAAACTATCAGATTACACACTGCCGGTTTTAAAATTACATCGAATGAAAAAAGGGAATGGAAACTTCATTAATGATATCTCGAGGAAGATTATCGTCAGAAAATTCAACTAGCCCGATAACCACGATATATTTTGTCGTCACGTAACAGTAGAACCGTTTCGCACCACGTGGTACACACGCCATACCTCTCTCCCTCTATCGCCATCGCGTCACATCTTGTCCCTCGTGGGAAGTCTTTCAAAACACGCTGCCGAACGCGTAAAGTAGCCTTACCGTGTTATGTTTACGTAGTCTCTGCTGTGCTCGTTCCAACCAATGTTTTTTGCCTCGTATATCTGAAACCTTCACAGTCGTCGAATATGAGCCGAGTCGTTTTATCCCGAAAGACGAAAAGCAAAACAAAGCAAGCCGAAGCGAAGCGCAGCGCGCACGTGAAACGAGACCGAACCGTACAGTCACGAAGAAGCACGGAAACTGCCGAACTACCGATCGGAAGTGTTCCGGTATACGATCTTGATGCTACAAGCATTCCGTGTCTACTAAGGTGAATTTGCTTTATGTCCGCCCTTTTATGTTGCCTTTAACCTGTGTAACAGGCAAACTAATTTGTTTTCGGGGGTGAACGATTCATATACTACCCCGATAGGTAACTTTTTCGCCCATTACTCCATCCCACTCGACCCATCCCCACTTCATACCCACGGAACCCCTTTTCGCCGCCAGGACACTGTAACCAGTTTCAAATTGTCCAATAGTGTGACACGGTAGCCGAAGAAAAGCTGTCCCGGGGAAAAATTTCGATTGGTCGTGCCTCGTAATTGGTAGATAGGAAGAATTCCCTGGATGTGATAACCGAGAGAAACAGTACAGGGCATTTTGCGTTTACCTGGATGCACAGACATGCCACATTTCCACTCTATTTGGTATTAATTATATAATTATAAATCGAGTTAAAATATTACATCACAGAATAATCAACAGTAAATGTATTAATAATTATCGAGACCATTTGAAGAAATATTTAGATCTGGGATATTTATTTATTTATTTGAACTCCGCATTCTTGCGTTAATTTGTCATTTATAAATTCGCCATTTTTACTTTAGTTTAACCAATGAGGAAAGTAGACACGCCATTTTAACGTCAAAGATGGTAGGCATATATATAGGGTAAACATTTATATAATCTTTGTTTCAGTTCATATGAAAAAACATGCATCTGATGGAATAAAGGATGAATTTGTAACGACTCGTAATAAATTATCTCGCATATAAATGAAATGATGGACGAATTAATTACAAGCGTGTCTCCTTAAGCAGTCCCTCGTTAAACAGCGATGATTACAATTTATATAACCATAGTAATCGTAATTTGAATGTGACTTTTTTCAACAACGATGGTACACGAAACCGAAGATACAGTTCGTTCCTAAAAAGGGACGTTAATTATTCCGAAATCTGGTTTTATTGAAATAAATGACGAGGAGATAAATTCTTAGAAGAATTGAAGGCGTACAAAACGGCGTGTTAAAGGGAATATTGAAATGAATAATTCAGTAAGTAAAATTACGTAGATTTCTACATAAGAGAGAATCTTAAATATGTGGCTCATGGGAAACGAGTTGTTTACTTATTTTTCGCAATCGCTGCGCAAGTCTTGACAATTTTCAGAACTGTTCAGCAGCCTATGAAACACGTGTATTATCAGGATAACCTGTATGTGACGATACCTTGGGCAAATTAATTTCCATACGTCTCTTCGTGCATTTATATACCACTAGAGTTATTTGCAAATAACTAGTAAGTTTCCTTAACTTAAGCAGACTTTGTAACCTAACCACAATAGGTCGATGGTTTATGGATTCGCTTAATTATTACCAAGGCTGTTCGAAGAAAAAAACAATGACAAAAAATCGAGGACTTTTGACACAAAGTAGTTAAAGGTATAAAATAAAATCAGAATATCTACAATTGGGCAAAGAATAAATAAATATAAAATTAAAACATATTTATTGCGATGATGCATATGAAAACAGCTTTACGTGACTGAACACAAAATCAGGCTTTAAAAGCCGAGTTAACTACTAATTATCACCTGATACTGACTCGTCTGTTCCAAAATTATAATTAACTTTGGAAAATCCCATGAACGACTGTTCGTTGAGCTAGCAGATGATGGAGATAATTATTATTTAACAGTTTTTATTGTATGCCAAATGCCATTAGAACTGTACCTCGAAAATATTTGACCTGCGCGACGTCGTGGATTACCTGAGACATAAAACCCTAATACATTCGTCATCGACAGGACACAACGTGCACCATTATTCCTTCTTCTCAACCGCTATTGTTAATCCCTAGCAAGCTAAACTTATCCCGCATATAATGGGCTTGAGGGCACTCGAAATGCAAAATTAAACAATAAAACGCATGGACTGAATTCGTGGCATTGTCTTAGGGTCCATTATTCCATACCGTAAGATTCCCGAATAATACCGACGGCCATGGAGTTCAACAAATGAACACCCAAACGATAAATGAAAAAACGATCAACTTCTTAGTCTTTCGTCGATGACCGCATATCCTTAAGCCGGACTTACAATTTCTTTGTCTTCTTCCACTAGGAACGTACAAGAAATTAGGTGATTAAGCTTGACGAGGCATCGTTCTAAGAATATAACGCAAAAAGAATCGCATGCATGGTGGTCATTAATTCCATGGCGATTGGTTTGAATTCACGTGTAAAATTAAGCTGCTGTTTACATCTAAATCGATTCGATCTTTTATAATGAATGTGAAAGCCGAGAGTAGTTGAGGAAGTGAGGTAATTTTTTAAAAAGTACCTCACAATTACCACGATTATTTTCATCGTAAAACTGATTCTTTGTGTTAGCTTAAAAGAACATTTCTCTGTGTGTATCGCGATCGTGCGCGAAATGCGCTTTAATTTCCTGATTGTACAAGCGTAGAAAAGAACGTAGCTAACCTCAACCTAGATTTATGCAAACAATAAAACAAGGTAAATATCCAGGCGAATACACACGACTTGTATATACACGTATGAAACACCGTTTCGGCGTTTGGTGGAATGCATTTACGGAGATATCGTTACGCCTCGAACAACTATCGCGTAATTGCCCATTGCTGCGTAGTGCTCGCCGCTTGATTAAGTCTATTTATGTTCCGATGAAAACGTTACAACCTATCCCCTTGATTCCCCGACGCATTTTCCCTTCGTCTCGCTTGAACGCAGGAAAATGATTTACGATCGTGTCTCAAATCATTGTAGCACAAAGATGGAAACAAGATGGCTTAATTCGGTGGCGAACTAAGCTGGAGACCTTACCGTGGTACTGCGCTGTAGAGGTTATGGACGCATACATACCTGTGAATTTATATAGAACAGCTAGTTACTTTCGATAAAAATTAAGGAATTTTTTGAGGTTATAAATATCGATTAATACTAGAATTATATTAACGGTAAAAATGATTTGCTTCAGATTTCTTATTTTCAATAGAATTATCGAGATAGAAGCGTAATTATATGTACCTATTTACTTTCATTATTCCACTTGAATTATTAGCCATGCATGCTGTATTTAAGAGCACATTACAGATCGGTTGCTTTAATATTAAAGAAAAGGAGAAGAATTGATGAAAGTCGAGATTTCCTAGCGCCTCCTTCTGCGCGCATGCGCACAGCTAAGTGCTTCTCACGAAACAATCTCCAGATTAATCGGGACAGAAAATTCTCAGAGACCATAACCAAACTTCGAGCTGGTTATCGTGGAACATAACCATTAAAATATCGATCGTATCGATTAATACGAAGTACCTAGTGATTCACAGGAACGAGAACAATCAGCAGCTACCTTGGCTGCTTGAAACATGTGATATGTTATCTCGGCTCTTTAAACGACGACTATTGGAATATGATAATATATCCACTGCGAAGATACGTAGTCGAAAGGAGAGGGGCTAATCACGGTTACTGCGAAGAAAAAGAATTATCATAAAGAGAACATCTGAACCTCTGAACTATATCAGATTACGTAAAGATTAATGCTACCGATGATTAATCAATGCTGCATCATCTATCTGGTTTTCGTATTACGATCGAGAAATTCCATATTTTTAAATATTTCAAATTGATATCCTCTTGAATAGAAGTAGATAAAAAAATATATATTTCAATTAAATAACTCGGAACGAAAATAGTTCAGGCAGACCTTACGCAAAGATGACGGTTTCATCACGACTGTTCCACATCTTCTAGTATTATCATGCGATAGATAAAACACGCATTTTTACCTACTGTACGTACAAGTACAGTTCTATTCAATTACGAAGTTTGTTAAATTTCTGGATAAGAACAAAATGGAGATATCTAATTGCGAATTACATTTCGTCTATTACACACATCTATTTTTAGAAGAAGATCATGTAATTATGTACAAGTGTATGATAATAATTATATATTATACGAAGAATATGTTATTTTAAAAAGTTGGACCACGAG